GCAGTGCCTGCCCCCCAAGCCCTGCCCCCTGCCTGGCCCACGGTGGCTGGCCCAGAGTTCCCACGGGGGCTAGCCTCAGCGCTGGCCATGACACATGCCCTCGGGATCCACTTCCAGAAGACGACATTGTCACTTCTCTAAAAGCCAGGCTGTGGAGAAGGCAGAAGCAGGAGGAAGGCAAAGCCGTCTCTGGTCCCTGCGGCTTCCCGGAGGCTCACGTGTGCTGCTCGGGTGCAGGTGTGTGTGTCTGGCCCCCATCCGGGCGCTCCAGGTCTTTGCCATCTCTGCTCTGTCCCCTGCTAACCTGTGGCATCAGACGTGTCCCGGTCCTGCTCCCGGTCCTGCCTGGGGGCAGCCCCGTGGCTCTGCACAAGGACTTGGCAGACAGGTGACAGCAGGAGAGGGGAGGGGACTCACCAGGCACGGTGCGGGCACCCTGTGTCTGCGGCCTGGCTCGTTCCCTGCGTGTTCCCGTGGACCGTCCCCACAGCTGGAGACGGTCTCAGGCAGGTGACATTCTGTCACCTGATGCGCCGCAGCTCCTAGACGTGAGGGTGAAGCCATCTCGGCCTGAGGATCTTCTACGCCAAACAACGCATTGGATGCGCTTAATGCAAGGGCAACAGCATCGCCAAGCCCAGCCGCCCTAAGCATGCCCAGACAGCCGTCTCTAACCCAGAGCCCGCCTTGGAATAACGGGTTGGCCGTCACCTGTCAGGTTTTATTTTTATTTATTTGTTTATTTGAAAGTTGGAGTTACATAGAGAGAGAAGAAGGAGAGAGAGAGAGAGAGAGAGAGAGGTCTTCCATCCACTGGTTCACTCCCCAAATGGCTGCAACAGCTGGAGCTGGGCCAGGCTGAAGCCAGGAATCAGGAGCCTCTTCCAGGTCTCCCGCGTGGGTACAAAGCCCAAGCCCTTGGGCCATCTTCCACTGCTTTCCCAGGCACATTAGCAGGGAGCTGGATCACAAGAGGAGCAGCTGTGACTTGAACCGGTGCCCATCTGGGATGCGGTGTCACAGGCAGCGGCTTTACCCAATATGCCATGCCTCGGTCAGTTCTCGGACAGTTTGCTGAGAGAGGGAGCCAGGACAGCCGACCAGGTGCCCTTTCGCTCTGTCCTGAGAAACCCAGAGCCGCCCCCCCACCCCACCCCCCACCCGCTTCTGACACCTGAGCTGCTCTGCAGGAAGACACAGGCTAGAGAGAAGACCACAGGGAAAGGAGCCCCGGCCAGTCTGAAGCCAGCGGACCAAGGGTCTGGGAGCTGCAGGGCCCCCGGGCACAGGGCCACTCCCAACTTGGGAGACACTGGGGAGGGGGGGAGGCAGCGAGAGCCCAGTGAAGGGGCGGGACTGACGCCCAAAGGGAGGGGAGACGGAAGCTGGGGCAGATGCGTCCGGCTGGGAGGACGTGGGTCGTGGCAGACGGCGGCACCGGCCCAGGTAGGCGGCTTGTGAAGCCGAGGGAAGGCAGAGGCCGGCAGGAAATGCCACCCACAGCAGGTGCAACACAGGGGTCGCAGCAGCCGCCTCCGCCGTCCCGTGACCCCCGCCCCAGCTCCTGTCCCCAGACAGCCTCCTCTGCTGGGAGCAGCCACGCGATTCCTTCCAGGGGCACTCCGGGGGCAGCTCTGGCCTCCTCCCCCCATCTCTGGGCCGCATGGTGGGCCCAGGTCCCCTCAGCCCCGGGGTCTTCCCGCATGCTCTTGCTCTTTCTAGAAGGTTCTCCCTTCTGGCCTGGCAACCCTTGGTTCTCCTTCCTGGAAACCTGTCCTCCCCCAGACTACGGTAGGACCCCCACCCCCGCCGGGGCTCCTCGGGCTCTCGCAGCAGAGGAGTGGTTGAAGTCTGTGGGTTCCCTGCATTTCCGTGAATAGGCGATCTGTTTGGAACAGTTTTAGGCGCATGGAAAATTAGACCAAGAGTAAAGGAAGTCCCTCCCCCGGCTTAGTACAGGAAGCACCCCCATGGCTTACAGCTTACTTGTCAGTAACACCCAGCGTGGCGGGGGGCACCTGTTCCTACTGAGATGCCACCTGTTGGCGTGAGGCTCGCTCAGGGCTGCGCTGAGCCTGCGTCTGCACGTGGGTCACAGGAGCTGTCTCCCAGCCCTCGACGTCTGTCCCCTGTGCCCACCGTCCTGTCTCGCTGCACCCACACGTTTGCTGGGGTGTTTTTTTAGTTCTCCCATTTATTTAAAGATTTATTTATTTATTTGAAAGGCAGAGTTACACAGAGAGAGGAGAGGCAGAGAGAGAGAGAAAGAGAGAGAGAGAGAGAGAGGTCTTCCGTCTGCTGGCTTACTCCCTAACTGGCTGCAACTGCTAGAGCTGTGCTGATCCGAAGCCAGGAGCCAGGAGCTTCTCCCAGTCTCCCATGCAGGTGCAGGGGCCCAAGGACTTGGGTCATCTTCTACTGCTTTCCCAGGCCACAGCAGAGAGCTGGATCGGAAGTGGAACAGCCAGGACTCGAACTGGTGCCCATATGGGATGCTGGTGCTGTAGGCAGTGGCTTTACCTGTTACGCCACAGCACCGGCCCCTGTTTTTTTTAAGGATTTATTTATCTTTTATTTAAAAGGCAGAGTTGACAGAGGGAGAGATCTTCCATCCGTTGGTTCACTCCCCAGATGGTGGCAGCAGCCAGCAGTGGGGCCCGGCCGCAGCCGGGAGCCAGGAACCGCATCCAGGCCTCCCATGCGAGTGGGTCTTGGGCCCTCCTCTGCTGCCTCCCCAGGTGCATTAGCAGGGAGCTGGATCGGAAGTGGAACAGCCGGGACTGGAACCAGCGCTCGGTGTGGGGCGCTGGTATCCCGAGTGGCGGCCTAGCTGGCTGTGCCACAGCGCCGGCCGCAGCTGCGGAGGTTTTCTCCTTGCCCGACTCCGAGCCGCCTCCCAGCAGGGCCCCCTCTGCTCGCGGCTCCACTCCGAGCCGGCCGCTAACAGGTGCCCTCGGAGCTCTTGTCTGCGTATTGCAGTGAGAATGGGAGGCTGTCGCGCACGCTGGGCTGCGATTTGCTTTTTCCAAATATTGACAATCCGTCTTGGACATCTTCCCGTCCCAGTGTAGAGCGTGCTCGCTCTCGCTCTTTAGCTTCACTTGGGGAATTTCCAACATGGAGAAGAGGGAGCCTGCAGAACCAGCCTGCTCCCAGGGGGCCCTCCTGCCCCCTGCGCTCCCTTGCTCTGTGACCCGGAAGCAAACCCCAGTGCTGGTAAGCCCCGCCCAGCAGGGGTTAGCGTTTCTGTGCACATCTCTAAAAGATAAGGACTTTTTGTTCAAAGGTTATTTATTTGAGAGGCAGAGATAGAGAGAGAGAGAGAGAGAGAGAGAGAGAGAGGTCTTCCATCTGCTGGTTCACTCCCCAAGTGGCCGTAACATCTGGAGTGGAGCTGATCTGAAGCCAGGGGCCAGGAGCTTCTTCCGGGTCTCCCACGTGGGTGCAGGGCCCAAGCACTTGGGCATCTTCCACTGCTTTCCCAGGCCACAGCAGGGAGCCAGATCGGAAGAGGAGCAGCGGAGACTGGAACCAGCGCCCTTATGGGATGCGGCGCCACAGGCAGATGCTTAACCTACTACGTCACAGGGCCAGCCCCAAGATAAGGACTTTTATAAAAGACATAACCACAAGACCAGCATCACGTCAAACAGATACCGAGGGCCGGCGCCGCGGCTCACTAGGCTAATCCTCCGCCTAGCGGCGCCGGCACACCGGGTTCTAGTCCCGGTCGGGGCGCCGGATTCTGTCCCGGTTGCCCCTCTTCCAGGCCAGCTCTCTGCTGTGGCCAGGGAGTGCAGTGGAGGATGGCCCAGGTGC